TCTCTGGTGAAGCCTCTCGCCGCCCCTGCACCTCTGGCCTGTACCCCTCAGTTCTGTATGCATAAATAAATAAATCTTTAAAAAAAGAATGAACAAACTTTTCCTGATAAGAAGAAAATAGATGCCCTTGATTGCATATGGATATGGAATGATTTCATATTTTCATACTGTATACCTTATGCATGCAGATTTCACGTTAAACTATGTCTTGATATTTTAGAAAACAAAGACAAGCAACATCCTTTAGGACTAGCTTGATGTGATTTGTCATTGTGCATTAAGAAATAAAATATGTAATTCCTAATTTCTTTGAATTTTCAGTTAAGTTTTAAAGATATATATATATGTATGTATTAAACATGCATGTATATATGTATATATGTACACACATAGAATTTTCATTCATACCTACCAAGACATTTTTTTTCTTAATGATAATTGTTTGTCATGTTAAACAAGACAGGAAGTTTCTGCTTATATTGCAAATATGATAAAAGTTTGTACTTCCAATCTTATGATTTATTTTTCTGATAGTTTCTAAATTTCTTCCATTTAAATGTATACACAATGGCCCTCCCTGGTGGCACAGTGGGTTAAAGCACAGAACTGCAGCTGGCCACAGCTGCTTCAGTGCCAGTTGGATCCCTTGCCTTGCCCAGAGGTGATCCACATGGTGTGGCATACCTCTCCTGTCTAGCCCACTGCTCCCCTCAGCAGTATAATTTGTCAATCTGCCTGTTCTGCATCCCACTCTGTCTCTAGTCAATCCTCTAACCACCCCTGTACCCCAGTTCCATATGCATAAATAAATCTTAAAAAATGTATACAAATGCTAAAAAATAATGCATAATACCTTGCATTGAGTTATTTCCTAGTGCCAGGCCTATATTATAACGAGATCTATATTATTTCTTCTTCACAACAAACATTTCTGGTGCTATTATATCAACCTTATACAGATGAGGACACTAAAGCTTTGAAAAATAAAGTGACTAATTCAGTCATTCAAATAATAAGGTAGGACACTAATCTGGGTTCCTAAAGTCTGCTTTCTGAGGAATGAAGTAATGATGAATGTGTTCATAACAATAGATCTTATGCACAGTTAAAGACTTGTTCAAAATAAGTTTCTCTGCAAAATTTAGGCATCATTTTACCTGTCCTTCAGACACAAAGTAATTCTAAACAGGATGGAATCTTCAAAACTCCATAAACTTTATAGGAATAAAAACAAGTCCCTGTTTGGCCCTCCCTGGTGGCGCAGCGGGTTAAAGCACTGCACTAAGAAGCTGAAACCACTTCCGCATGAGTTCGATTCCCGTCTGCCCCGGAGGTGACCACATGGCGTGGCAGACCTCTCCTG